GAAGAAGAAGAAGAAGAAGAAGAAGAAGAAGAAGAAGAAGAAGACTACATGAGTTCCTGTTTCAAAAAACAAACAGAGTCACTTGGCCCCTACTGAATCCAAGGCAGAACACTTTTTACTAGCTTTTGTCTCATGAGGTAATTGAAGGGTAAGCAGCCTGGCAAAAGTTTTAGCAAATTAGAGCCAAATCCTTCTTAAAATGTGCTCTCAACTGCTTCTTGACCTAAAAGCTTCAACAGGAGTCTTAAAAGCAGCTCTAGTGAGCCATTTTTGGTAACACGTGAACAAATTATTTTTAGTGGCATTCTTTGTTTTTTTTGTTTGTTTGTTTGTTTTTCGAGACAGGGTTTCTCTGTGGCTTTGGAGCCTATCCTGGCACTCACTCTGTAGCCCAGGCTGGGCTCAAACTCACAGAGATCCATCCGCCTGCCACTGCCTCCCAAGTGCTGGGATTAAAGGTGTGCACCACCAACACCCAGCAGAAACACTGATTTCAATCCCTCTCTCATAACTCTGAGGCTCTGACCAGGTTCAGATCCAGCTTTGTTTTTTTCAGAATAGTTCTAAAGCATGGAACATTCAGCTCCAAAGGAACAGCTTTCTCTAAAGGGACAGACAGTCACAACATAATACCCAGGGCACATGGAAGCCATCCCTTGCCTCGATGCACCTACTCAGTGCACTATGGCAATGAAGCACTCAGCTCTTAAGGTTTCTCATAGTTTCTCAGGATTGAGCTGGCTGCAGCATCCCAGGCTACAAAATGCAAAGCCTATACCCGCATGGGACCAAGGGCTTTGCATGCATTAAATAAAAAGAACACAAAGTCCAAGCTGTTTCCACAGAGCAAACTGTGATTCCAAACCGAGGGAAAGTTTCTTCTATGATGATGACAGCCAAGAAAGAGGAGACAACACAAGAACACCTGCCACCATCTCCAGATGCAATGCAGAGGGTGGAAGCCAAGGCTTTGGGGGTACTACTGAACTCCAGGGCCAGCCCCAGTTTTCTATTCATAAACAAACACCACAGTGTCACTATACCAGCCCCACTACAGAACATACTCCTTGAGGGACAGGATAAGACAACCACACGCCGTTGGCTTTGTTAACACTGGCACAGGATGGTCAGGCAATGGCTGTCTTGAGGATGCCAAGACACTGTGGGAAATCCCCACCCTCAGCCCCTGACCCCAGTCTTGCAAGCTCTGTCCAAAAACATGCCATTGCTTCTGTCTACAACAGACTGCTCCTTTCTCTCCCTCTCAAATGTTCACCAATACGTTCTTCAGAACTCTCCACCCCACTCCTGTGCTTTCTCCTGTCAGGTCACAGAAGCTCCTCCATTTACCATCAGTTCAGCTTTGGGAACAAAAGGCTGCTCCCAAGTCCACTTGCCCATAAAATGCCAACAAGGAGACCAACCAATGAAAATGTAGATGCCCACAGAGGTTTATACACTGGTTCTGAGTCACCTGGTTTCTTCTCAGCCCACTGCCTGATCTACACTTGGCCTTTTATAACTGTACTGTTAAATAACTCACTTGTATGCACATTCAATTTTCTAACATTATTTTCCATTTTTAATTCTTCTCTGCACTTGCCCATCCCTTCACATAAGCACTTCCAGTCAACAATAAATGATATAGTTATAAATACATGCAGAACTATCCATAATAGCATACATAACATAAATATGCTTAGCAATGGAAATACTCCATGTGTTCACAAAACTTTTATAAGACAAAATTAAATTGATTGTATAGCACTGCAAGTGCCACTTCTTGACTGTTATGGCAGAACCAGCAAACCTCTACTCATTTCTCTAACATATACAAGTTAACAGATCTAAAGTTCTGCAATTATTCCTATATATAGTTTTAATAAATTTTCTTTTCAACAGTGCTGGGATCAATCTCATGTTCAAGCTCCGTGCTCATCCACTGAGTGGCACACCTAGCCAATGCATGCATATCAGTCCACTTTATATGCTGTTTAACTTCCATAATTTTAGTTATTCAAACAATCTAAAAATATTAAGTAGAAAAGTCCAGAAATAAGTTATAAGTTTTCCATTGTATACTATTTTGAGAAATGAGAACCAACCATCCATCCTCCCACTTGGTCCTTGAACTAGACTTACAGGTGGTATGAACTGCCATGTGGGTACTGGAAACTGAGCCTAGGTCCTCTAAAAGAGCAGAAGAAACACTCTTAACCGCTAAGCCAGCCCTCCAAATAGGTCTTTCTGAAATTATGTGAAACTTTCCCCTCACAAACAATGTAGGCCTGGCTGGCCTTGAATTGACAACAGAGATCCTACTGCCTCCACCACCCCAGTGATGGAATTAAAAATGTAGTACCATGAGAGGTTAAAAGATGTACTCATATTGCAGAGAACAAGAAAGTTCTTAAAACATTAGCAACTTTTTTTTCTTTTCTTTTGGAGTGGAAAAAAGCATTGACAAGCTTTGATTTAAAATGGCTTTTCTTTCTTTTTTGTTTTCTTTTTTCTTGGTTTTTCTGTGTAGCCTTGGCTGTTCTGGAACTCTTTCTGTAGACCAGGGTGGCCCCAAACTCACATAAATCTTTATGCAGATGTTTTCATCTTTAGTTGGCTATAAAATGTATGCAAAAACTGTTTTAAAACATTTTTAGCTTATTTATTTCACTTTATATTGTAAGTGGTTTTTTAAAAAGATTTTATTTATTTATTATGTATACAACATTCTGCTTCCATGTATATCTACACACCAGAAGAGGGCACCAGATCTCATAATGGATGGTTGTGAGCCACCCTATGTTGCTGGGAATTGAACTCAGGACCTCTGGAACAGTCGGTGCTCTTAACCTCTGAGCCATCTCTCCGGCTCCATATTGTAAGTGTTTTGCCTACATGCAGTCTATATGCACCATGTGCATGCCTGGTGCCTGCAGTGTCTGTCTCGGAACACAGAGACAGATCCCCTGAAACTGGAGTTAGAAATGGTTGTGACCACCTGTAAGTGCTGGGAATAGAACCCAGGTTCTTTATAACAGCAGCTAGTACTCAACCATTGAAACATCTCTCCTAAAATAAATGCCTTTGTGATTTTTTTGCCAGTAAATGTTTTCATTATGTACATTATTTTATACACATAAAACCTGGAGTTGTATAAAAATTCTAGGGCTGCCAGGCTTTGGTGGAGCATGCCTTTAATCCCAGCACTCAGGAGGCAGAGGCAGGTGGATCTCTGTGAGTTTAAGGCCAGCCTGGTCTGCAGAGCGGAGTTCCAGGACAGGCTCCAAAACAATACAGAGAAACCCTGTCTTGAAAAATGGAAAAACAAAACAAACAAACAAACAAAAAATATAGGGCAACCAGAATTAGAGGATAAGATGTTATTACCAAAGATATCACACACCTCGGTCTAAACACAGAGAAAGCAGGCTGAATGGAGCTGGAAACTTTCTCCCTAATGCCTAGCATTCAAACCACCAGAAGATGATAAGTGGGACTTAGCCTATAGGGGGGAGGGACATCATTCTATGAGTCAAAAGGCCAACCTAACCAGCCAAGATATGTGCTTGACTATGATGGGGGTATAGTCTGTGCTCTGACTAGATTTGAGGTCTATTCCACATGGAGGAAGAAAAGGAACATGGTCATGCCCTGATACAGTAAGCCCAGCTAACAAGCCATATCTGGGAAGGTTGCAGGACCAGGTAAGGAAGTTACTGTAGATGTTTAACTAAACTGACTTAAGCAGCAAACTGCCTTCTAAGTATCTGTTGTTATACCCACAAGCAAAGGCTGGCCCCAGGCTTAATCAGAGAAGCCTCTCCTTACAATGAATGGTGGTGAATGTAGACTTGTGCCTGCCCAAGATGCACATGAACAACACTAAATAAAACACCCTCCCTCTAAGGCTCAGGGAACACTGTGGAAGAGAAGGTCGGGGAAGTATATATGAGACAGAGGACGGGGAAGGGCTGCAAAGTGCCATTCTCTAGACTTAATAGAATCACAGAATACCAAAGTCTGGCTCCATCAACAATTAGACAAGGGGGCTGGAGAGATGGCTCAGAGGTTAAGAGCACCGACTGCTCTTCCAGAGGACCTGAGTTCAATTCCCAACAACCACATGGTGGTTCACAACCACCTTGAATGAGATCTGGTGTCCCTTGCTGGAGTGCAGGGCACATGCAGACAGAAGACTGTATACTTAATAAATAAAATTAAAAAAAAAATTAGACAAGGAAAGGGGAGGAGGTTACTGGTTCTGGGAGAGGGCAAACCATTGTCTTCATCTGTATACCCTCTGCTGAGTCCACCAAATCCAATGGGTAAGTTCCAAAACCATACTCACATTTACAACTCTGGGCATATAGTGCCCAGAGGCCAGGAAAGGGCACCAGATTCTCTAGGACTGAAGTTACAGGCAGTTGTGAGCCACCATGTGGGAGCCAGGGATTGAAACCCACTCCTCTAGAACAGCCAATGCTCTTAACTGCTGACCCATATATTTAAGTTCTAAAATTCTAGGGCAAAAAGGGGTTATTTGTAGAAAACGGTTAAGAAGTCCT